AATTCATTGGCTTGTTATGCAACGTTGATCGACAATTATCACAATTTAGCTTGCAATTTTTCATTGCAGAGGGAAATTGTTATATTTTTGTGTGAAAGTTTGATGTGCCTCTATTTTTCTTCCAAATATGGACTATTTACGAACAACGGTAAATACATACATATATTTGTGGTAGATAAAGATTTTTAATTAAAAGGATGAAAATATAATACATGTATGTGGTGTTAAAATACTTGGTTATTTCAGAGCTTAGTAGTGTTGTTCGACTTTACTAGAAAGTCGACTTTTCGATCGACTCTGTATAGTCGACTTTTTTAGCATTAAAAAAACCGCAAAATAAGGTCCCGGGTACAAACGTATCCCGGGTGTGTGTTTACGTGGTATTTTCTGGGTGTGTGTTCTAGGGTTAAATATACTCCGCTAGCAAACACATTTTGCACCATAGAAGAACCACTTTTTTTTGGGACAAACGATATCAGCATAAGTTTTTATAGAGAAATAGTATTTTAATCAATAACGTATGTATTTGTGTTGACGAGCTGTTTTCTTGATAACAAGAATAAAAGAAATGAGTTAAAGGCATCAAAATGGCTTTGTTAATGCAAAAATGTTTTTTTTTATATATCTTTTAGTTTAACCGCCGCAATTGCGTGCTGTAGCCTTTTTTGTGACGGCAAAAAGGGCGTAAGCGACAAAATCACCTATTTCATTAAATACGGGCAAATGAAACCACCAGTATTATATACCTCACATCAAATGTAACTTCTTCATTGACCTTCACGTTAGAATCTACGGTAATTGCCGTGTTAATAAAAAAAACCCTTTTGGCGGTTAGGGCTCGATATCTAAAGCGTTATGCTGGATGGGTCAACAATTTTCAAACAAATTTCTTTCATAGACAGTTTCAAAAAAGCAATTTAAATGACACATGGTTTTGATTTGAATTTATTATGAAAACTGGCAGAAGGAAAAATTAATTGTTCACTCAAATTGCTGGTGAAACCGGCAGTTGATTTATTTTATTCTCTAACATTGCTTACCTTTATACGGTAATTCATTGGATCACTTTTGGCTTTTATAGTAAAGATTACATTAAGAGTATTCAGACTATACTCGTTAATGTATTAATTCGTTATCTGGTAACTCGGTAACACTTTCATCTTCAAGCGCCCCTTATTTTCTTACGGTTAAAATTACTTTTATTTAAGTAATACTTACTTGTAAAATTTATTAATTCCAAGACAGAATGTTTTATTGAACTTTTGATAAAATGTATGCACTTTCCGCGTGAGAAAATTCCAGAAAATAAGCGACAGAAAGGAATCAGCTGACATTTTAACACATGTGTTACCACATTATCAGACTTGCCACCTCGTTGAGTTGGTAATGATACATTCGGTAATTTACAAAAACAAAACAATGGCGGGAGTTACCGAATACGGAATTAAGACCTTAACGAGTATAGTCTGAATCACCTTATTTATTAGATACAGTTTTTAAAGTTGATAAAGTGTAGTGAGTTTCTTTTAGGAGCAAGAACGATAGAATACAAGATTGCACATTCCCGCAGAATGACATTTGTGGCAACGGGTAAACAAAGAATATGGCGAAGAACAATGAGTGGACAGTTGTGAATTTGCAGTGAGAAAACGTGTTTTCTTCACGATTCATCAATTTGTCAAGCATCTTTGAACATAGCAAATTAAGCACAACGTTAACAAAAAATATACAACCACTCTTGAAATGTGTTCAAAAGAATAGGTCTTATTAATTAACTATTTAGAATTTTTGTGTTTGTATTGCAGGTGCCGAAAAAGTGATATCTTGTCGCAGCGCATGTTTTCCTGCAGAATGGGGTCGATGTTTGCTTACCTCCGATTTTAATTTGTAATTTGTGGTATTTTAACGTTTTCAACTTAACATGTCGCGTTTAAAAGTGGTCCGTAAAGTGCTTCATGCATATTACGCTGGTGTGTAAATTGTAGGGCTTCTCCTGCCGGCAGAACTCTACCCACTTTCTGGCCAAGGCGTCGTCGCGGGGAAACAAAAAAAAAACTGCATTTGGGGGCTTTACCCCTACGGCTGCTGCAATTAAACACACGACACGACATTTGTATAAAGTTTTTATTACAAATAAAACGTTTTTTACTTCAGAACGCACGAATTACTTCGATTTTTCACTTGGAAGTACACAATACGTTTGCACTTGTTTATAAACAAAAAGTTTGTTTACATATTGCCATAAACGTCAAAGTCGGCAAAACCAAAGTAGCGGTTTCGGGAATGCGCCACCTTCAGTTCATTACACCATGTTTTAGGAGTGTCTTTGTTGTAAATAATACTGCAATTTATGTTAACCTTCATTTTATGATCCGGTGATGTATGCGTTGCTGAGCATTTAGAAATGGTCGCAAGGAGAACTTGTATCGGGCCAGGGATGCCAACTTATTTTATCCCTCTCCCCGTTGACCACCGCGAAATTCCCCGATTTCCGGTGAAATTCCCCGCACTGGCATGATTCTATTAAAAAACTAAATTTCTTTTATTTAATTGCTTGATCTTATTTACGAATGTTCATACAATATTTAAATTTAAAATTTTTTCACAAACTTCTTATAAAATTATATCTTATTGTATAATAGGGCTGTGCGATTATTCGATTACTCGAGCAAGTTGGTTAATCAGTTATTCGGTTAATCAATTACTCGAGTAATCAAGATTTTGTTTACTCAAAACGATGATTAATCGAGTTACTTGAAATATGATTACTCAAAAAAATTAATTTTGCTCGTTAAAAGAGTTTGCTTTGGAAAATGCTTATTTCCTTTTTTATATTCTGTATATGAAAAAAAATGTATTTATGTATGTATTTCATTTTAATTTTTGAAAACAGAAACGTTTCTTTCAAATTATGAAGGAACTTCAACTGCTTTATATGTATGTATGTAAAGAGTACTTTAAAATGTTGATTACTCATTTTATTCATAATGTTGATTAATCATAAAGCAAATTACTCAAATATTTTTGTTTTTGGTTAATCAAAATCTTGATTACTCGAGTAACTGAACTTTTGAGTGATCATAATTTCCAATTAATCGAATAATTGAGTTGTTTACTTTATGATTTATTAAAATTTTGAATAATAAATTAATCGTACAGTCCTATTGTATAACATACGCCATATAATTCAAAATAAAAAACTTTGGGCAAAACTGACAAAAATTCAACAAATTTAAAGAAATTTTCATCAAAATTTTTAACTTTTTACTCGTTTTTTCAGAAGCCAATTTAATTTTTTTATTATTTAATTTATTATTTATTTTATTTATAGTTTTAACTTAAGCCTAAGTGGAAGGTTCTATCACCTTTTGTTTTTTTGCTAGACCTTCTAAAATATTGCAAAAACGCGAGTTCTTGACACTTTGACCTAGTTTTTCTCAAACGCTGGAGCTGATGGAAACTTTGAACTTACGGTTTCGTAATCATAAATAATAATAATTCGTAAAAGTCTTTCAAAAACAGCTTTAACATTTGCCGCAACAAAACACTGTTGCCTTGTGTTATTGCATTATTTAATATGTATATACAAATGAATGTAAGTAAAATTAAAAATATCAATGTTTTTATAATGTTTCTAATGCGAAATTGGCAGAGTTGCAAAAAGTATTCTGCACTCTAGGTAAGTTATTTAGTGATTTAAAATTAAATAGTCTAAATTCTCTGCAAAAGGCAGCCATTATCCGATTCCCCGCAACGAGACATATTCCCCGCAAGTTGGCATCGCTGTATCGGGCACCAGATGACTTCTAGGAAAATGCTTTTGCAACAGCAAGATATTGTGCCAACTCACATAGCCAAAAGCGCGCAAGAAAGATTGCATCCTTCAGCTTTTGTTAAATTGCACGCTGAATTACCTACGATAGAAATCTTTTCCGAGGTGACTTCACAATGTACATACATAAATGTTGATTTTATAGACATTGTGGACACTAAATAACGTTAGCCCATTTAATTCAGTTTAACATATTTATGTAGCAAAGCAACGTTTATTTTTCTTTGTAACACCTTACAATAAACTGACACTAGTTACAAGCGCTTTTATTTGCTTCTCATCTATGATAACTTATTTTTTTACATGCACTTAAATATGTACACATATTCTATGTACAAACATATTTTGTTTTACAGGTATTGGCGCTCACTTTCAAATCTCGTGGCTTCGCTTTTGAATTCAATACAGTCGATTGCGTCCCTATTGCTCTTGTTATTTCTTTTTATTGTTATTTTTGCTCTTTTGGGAATGCAAGTGTTTGGAGGAAAGTTTAACTTCAAGCCTGAGGAAGAAAAACCACGCTGGAACTTCGATTGCTTTTGGCAAAGTTTACTCACAGTATTTCAGGTAAAAAAATAATTGTTCATGCAAACACACACATAAAATGTACAATCTTTGTTTTATTTTTTTCTAATGTTGACAAGTTTTTTAATGAATCAGTCACGAAAATGCTAAACTTTTTACAATAATATATTTATATAATTACACCAGTTCCCATGTAAAATCGGTCGCCGAGTTCGAAAATCCGCATATTTTTCTGAAGTAAAAGTTCTTTCGCCGCCTGAGAGTGATTTTTCAAGGTCGCGGATGCCACTTTTTCGCCATGTTTTAGTTCGGGCACTCAAGTTGCAGCGTAAACCCACACACCCCGTGAACCAGCACACCCTCATAAAAACAACCGAAAAATAACCTGTCTGAAAAGGAAACGTAGTAGTTAGGTTGCAACTAGGACGTAGACTACCCACACAGGAATATTTACTAAATAAAAATATAAGCACACCCAGTGTTGCCAGAACTTTTTGGGCCGACCGGCTAGATTGGCAAAAAAAGCGGCTAAAAACGGCTAAAATGTTTTAGTGAAAATTCAAATGCTTTATTTAAATAAATCGCAAGAAACGAAAGACTAGTTAACACCATTAGTTTATATCGAGTGTATATTCCTCATCATCAAATGAATCACTATTGTATATATCACCTGAATTCATTAATTTTAAGAGATCGTCATCTACAGTAAAATTATGGCAGCATTTTTCTTCTCGTTTTAAACCGTATCTTATATATAAAAGAGCGTTTAACGTTTTAACGCACATTGGATTTCTTTGCTTAGTTTTTATTATATTCATTGAACTAAATATTCGCTCTACTTCTGCATTACTTATAGGTAAAACAAGAAAACTAAAAACTAGGTTGGAAAGGTCAGCAAAAGGGTTTTCTCCTAGGGCATTTCGAAATTGATAAAATTCGGCCCAAAATTTTACAGTTGAGTCTAAATTACTCCAGGTATGTAACGTTAACCGTTGCCATTGCATCTCTATGGATGTTATTTCGTCGGCATTATATTTGTGTTTTTGTTGCTGTAGTTGAACAAATACTTTTGGTTTAATTACTCTTAATGCATTTCCAACCGAAAAAAGTGATAATAAAATAGCGACCATTTTCTCGAATTATTTTCCCGGCTTCGTGGTCAAAAGCGTTTGTGCTTACTTTTGTTTTTAAATACTCTTCAAAACTGTGATAAAACTGAGGAAATGGAGCAAGGTATGGTTCCAACGGGAAGCATATAGGATCAAATGTGTCCGCGCTAATAACCACTAGGGAGCATAGATGCGAAAGTAAAACATTGAGTTCATTAAAAATCTTCATTGGGTCTGAATTATTGCTTTCGAACAACTTGTTTACTTTTTGCACCTGAAAATTAGGCAAATAGTAAAATCGGCTAAAAACGGCTAACTTTTTTTTACAAACCGGCTAACAAATCGGCTGCCGGCTAGATCGAATTTTCTCCGGCTAGTTGCTATCAAAACCGGCTAAATCTAGCCGGAAAACGGCTAAAATGGCAACGCTGAGCACAACATGTATGAAAATACTGTACCTTCCATAATGCAGATATAGAACACATTTTCAAATCATTCTCGGGTTTCCACACCCAAAGGCACATCCTTTTCCCCCAACTGTTCCCATACAGACCTCAAAAGATGTGACCTGTGGTATAGTATAATACCATGTTCTCACCGACAACGAAAACACTTTGAAAACGAGTTTTGGGATTGTGGGCTGAAGGCTGTTCACACCGGCTGTTGGTGTTTTCGTTAACATTTCTTACATCGTCTGATTACCGCTTTGCTACACAAAAACAAACCCAAAATGCTTTTCCCTCATTTTCTTTTCATTAGCAACCTCTTACTTTCATTCATATTTTACTTTGGCCAGCCAATTAACAATAAATCCGAAATGGCGTATTTAAGATGATAAAATATGACTTCCACTTCGATAAATAATCGAAAAAAAAACTAATGAAGACACCGATTGGGATGAGTGGAACGTGAGTTTTCAAGTAGTTTTCAGCAAAAACTGCTTTTCGTTTGGCAGATTTTACATAGACGAAAACACAAGTTTTATGTCGAAAACCAGTTTTAGCAACGAAAACATGTTTTCGATGTCGGTCAGAACATGGTATAAGTTAACTCCCTTTTTATTAAAAAACTATCAGTCGTGATATTAGTGAGAGTACATTCAAGATAAAAACTGTACATGAAATATTCGTTTGTATTGAAATCCATTTAATAAATCAATACGAATACAAAATATTAATAATTATCAATAGAGCAAGGGGCCCACATTATCTTCAATCATACACATATACGTGTCATCAGCTAATAAATTAAAAGAGTATTTTCAATAAGTAAATATTTGACCAGCCGCATCTGCCACTATTTCATTTCATTTTTATTTAATTTCTTGCTACAAATTTTTTTATTATTTTTAATATTAGCTTAAGTCACAATTTTTGTGCTCGTCTTTGCATTGTCTTTGACTTTGGTCGAAGTTAGCTAATTTTGACATTTCAAACAGGTGGCGACCCTCCTTAATATAGTTAAGAAATAAATGAATCTCTTGCGTCTGACAATTTGATACTTATGTATTTAAATTACCTTACGAATTAAGCTGAACTTAATTTTTTAAATACGCACGTAGCAACAATCATAAATATAGTTCAGACATAAAGCCTTTTTAAATCTGTTTCGTTTGATGCCCATCTTTTAATAACTCCTTTAATTTATTAAATAACTTGAGTTTAACTTTTTAAACAGGTGGCAACCCTCCTTAATATTCTAAATGTTCAAGATAAGGATTTTTTACCACTCCTTCATTTGACGCCAATATTTTAATATATCATATGTAAGTTATGCGTACTTCAATTAAATGCGACTTCTCGAACAAGTCGCAACCTCGTTCAAAATATTTTACAACAAAACCATATTCTGATACATAATTGAAGTAACTAGTTTCCCTAATTCAACTTGGATTTATTTTTTTAAAACCGGTGGCAATCCTACATATAGTTTAAAAATAAACCCCGATGTATTAAGTTGAATTTGATTTTTAAAA